GTTTTCTGCGCGAGCAAAGGGGGGGGGTCCGGACTCCCTGGACTAATCCTGTACACGCCCCTGCCGAGCAAATTGCCAACATTGAAAAACGAACCCCCCCCCCAATATAAAGCTGCATGGCTACGGGCCTGTATATGTGGGTACATATATGATATCAAGGATGAACCGTACATACATATATCAACACGATATATATTGTAGCAACACTGATGTCATTCCGGGACCGCATTTAGCACCAGCCCACACACAGGCTAATTTTACACCATACCAACGGGCTAGAAGCACCGATCTATCTCTGGACTGCTGGACACATACACTGCTACTAATAGCCAACCGGGGTGCAACCGCACATGCATCGTTAGTTTCGCTAATAGGGTCTATGTCCCCCAGGTTACTGCCGGAACGTACGCTGGGTACGGTTCGGTATACCAAAACGTACCCTGGTACTATATTATATGCCGGACCGTACCTCACCTACTCTACTAACGATTCTAGGGAGTCGCCTACGCCTACTCCCTAACCCTAACCCGAACCCTAACCCTAACCCTAACCCTAATCCTAACCCTAACCCTAACCACATCAAATAGTGACCAGGGTACGTTCCAGTATACCGGACCGTACCCAAGGTACGTTCCGGCAGTACCCTGGGGGACATAGACCCTATGAGCGTTAGTTTCATGGGGTTTAGTTTCACGCGGCACCCACCACACACATATAACACATATAAAGCTATCTATATCACCTCTATTGTTAACTTGCCGAGGGGGCGCAGCACATCTCCAACCCCACTCGCCAATGGTCATTCATGCCGTCATCACATTACAACTGTTCGTAGGCGCTAATAAGGGACCTATGCCTTCCTTATAGCCAGCAATGATTGGTAGAAGCATATTCGGTAGTGGGATCGCGACTCATCTTGCAAGAGCGGGGGTATAAAAGCATGAGAGACACGGGGCTCTCCTGTGTTCACCCGCGTCTGTGTGCTAGATTTATGTGTAGTGAAAAACCTCTAGATTACCCTGTGTGAATTGTACGTGTTTTGTGAGTATATAATATACGGTGGAACGGCAGTTTGTAAACTACATCCTTCTACTCTCATTTTAGTCCTGTTTTACACACAATTACACGGCGCACATAGCACGCAGGCTAGAGCGCACAGTTGTCTGGCATCCAAATTTATCCAGCGACTACATTGGGCCGTCGACCAGGATTCATAACACAACAAGGGGTGCTGCCGCTATACGCGTCACTGCCGTTTCACTGAGCTGCACGAGATGAGCCAACAACTTCTCTGGTTGCAGAGTGTGCTTACCCTGACGCGCACACCTCACTGCCTGCATTCCAGCAGCGCTTATTAGAAATATTCCGCGATGGACTTCTACTTATCCCGCTACAAAGAGCCATAATCAAGGCTAAGTCTGCTTCGCTTAAGCAGGCGGTAGAGATTTCTGTATTACAGGCATGCGTCGAGGCGGAGTTAGCCGCTCTCCAGGGCACTCGCGCTTCTCTACACCTACCTTCAGCGGACGATGGACCCACGCTAGACTATGCAGAGGTCACACATGTTCAGCGCACCCTAGAGCCGCGAGCTGCGCACCCAGCTAAACAAGTATCGGATTACGAGCTGATTCGACAGGACATTAACGATCTGCGCGACATGGTGGCGGCAAATACACAATCTATTGCAGCACAGCAGAGATTTGTCCCCACACCCACTTCGCACCCATCTCAAGACGGGTGTTGCTATCCCACGGGCGTGGAGGGAGGTCACGTGATAACGTTGACGATGACGTTCAAAACGTTAACCCTAACGGTAACCCTCACTTCAACACGCCACCACTAACCTTCACATAAATATAAATATATATGTGTCGCCGCGCTATATATAGGCATTGTAATCCACAAAAATTAATCTATGGTGTGGGGACAGATATCATGATCAAACCCTAACCCTAAACCCTAACCCTAACTAACGCTAAGCCCTACAAAATCCTATATCGCCTACCCTAACCCTAATCCCTAACCCTAACCCTAACCCTAATCCTAACACTATCCCAACACTAGTGCTGCCACGTTGCGGTCACCTCCCTCCACGCCCGTGGGATAGCATTACCCTCTCAAGACGCGCGCCCGGCTCAGCGGGGTGCTAGCCCATACACGCGGCAGTCCGCTCTGTGTCCGCTGTATCCGTTTGTTCCTTCGCACGCAGCTGCTGCCAACTCGTCGCTGCGCTGCTATATTTGTAATCAGCTCGGACACGCAACACGCTATTTCCCTTGCAAGGCGGGAAACGATGGCGGCGCGCGTCAGTGAGGAGTTGTCGTGCACCACGCCGCACATCAAACGCTCCCGCTTTCCCGTATGTCTTTTCGTCTATTAATACCCTGCCGCATAGCGCACCGCATTGCGCCGTGCATGTAGCAGGATTGCCTTTGACGGCATTAATCGATACTGGGGCTAACGTCACGCTTTTAGCTTATAAACACTGGCTTACCCTCCCTCAGTCTATCCGGGTAGAATCTTCTTTTTCTACTCACCACACGGTGTTGTTGTCTGCATCTGGTCATCATCTCCCTATTGTGGGTGCAGCAGTGCTGCCTGTGTGTATTGGCCCTCGTAAGATGACAGTCAAACTACACATTGTCAAGGATCTACCACGCCCGTGTGTACTCGGAGCAGATTTTTTCCATACAACAGGAGCACTGATAGATTTCTGCATAGGGATGCTTCGATTTGGTAGGACAGGTGTGCCGCTTATCACTAGGGGAGCCATTCGCAATACTTCAGATACACACACTGAGCAATCATATACCCCCCTCACTTATGTACCCTCGCAGGCCGCTCACGCCACCGGTACAAGCCTCATACACCTGTTGCATATACAGTCACAACAGAGGGCGCGAGCATCCATGCTGCAGAGGCTACGCACACCAGTCAGCCATCAGCCACACCACCAACGCATCCCACCCCACCCCACCGCCAGCCACAGACACGGCCTTCGCCCGCCGAATTTCACATCGCTGTCGAATTCCTTGCAAAGTCGCTCTATGCCCTTCTCCATTCACGTATCCGCA